GACATAATTATAAAAGCAAAGTAGCCCTCATGCTTCAGGCTTTGGGATTTTTCTCAACTGGTGATAGGAGGAAATTTCCCATGGGATAATATTGCACATGATACAGGTCAAGGGTTTTGAACTCTCATCTGTACGTCAGGTATTTGCCGTTGTAGGAAATAGGATATCAGGTTAGATAGATTATTTATTTGGTTCGGTATAGCAATTTTTAAATTATCGTATTTTGTTAATGCTTATATTCAAAAGATGATGTTCTTAATATCTAAACTTATCAAAATCCATCAAATATGACTGACAAAATATTTGAATTAAGAATGGAAGAAGAATCACTGGGATAGAAAATGCTCTTGCTTTTTCCTTTACTCATGACCCCTTTTATTTGTATTTTTTTTTTTTGGCTAATATTTGCTCTTTAGATTTTATTTATAGAAAGGAAACTGTCTCCATTACTTGGGCAAAGGAGCACTTGAAAATAATTAACATTGAATCTGATTGTAGGGCTGTCTGCTCTACATTTTGAAGCAGTCCATGTAGAGATTAGTTAATAAGATTAAAACACAAAGTTGAGTGAATTACATAGCAAAAATGGCAGAATTTTGTTTATACATATTCAAAGCAATAGGCAGATCTCATTTATATCTTAGTTAAAAGTTGAAAGAAACTCGCACAGAACATTTGACAAACAAGGGGAAATTTTAATATTAAAGTTAGTCCCGTTCTTGATAACACGAGAATAGAATAAATTGGCTAAATTCTGGCTTCTTTAAGAGTTTTCTATTGTCTCATCACCACTGTGAGATCACCACATTAATAAGTTGTCTCCTTTAACAAGTCATGAAGTTGTCTCCACTCTTTTACTCATCTTGGGAAATTATACATATTTATGTATACATACACCCCCATCAAATAAATTCCTCAATATGAATGATATACCCATCTTTGCCCTTGAGCAATAGAACCGATGACCAGTTATGAAGCTGTGGTCCAACCAAAAATAACTCTTCCCACCCCTTTCAGAAGCAGTCCTGTGAACAGTTACTAATTGCCAGTTGTCTCGACTTGATTAAATGCTCATCAGTTCTCATGCTGTGACAAGAGCTCTCCCAGGCTCCAGGAGTTAGGAAAAGGCATTATTCACAAATAAGGCTGAGTCAGTAAGACGTGGTTACCAACTTCATGAAAAGACAGGAGAAAAAAACCACAAAAGGTGATAGGCTGACTTTATCCAGACTTCTATGCTGAAAGTTCATGTAAGCTTTAACTGTTCCAACTGCGTTTTCTGCAGTACTGCATCTGACGTTGCGGATGTAACTAGGGTTGACAGTGAGGCGAAATGCTTCTGTAATGTTTCCAGCTGGTCTTAGAAATGCAGTGTGCTGCAGAACTAAAAGACCCTTCCTCTTACTGGGGTGATTGTCTCAGGGGAATTTGCTATTGATCCCATTTTTGGTATTCACTGCTTTTAAAATGCAAAGTTTTCTAACAAGCAATTATTCCTTTATAGGAGCTTCCCAAGTTTCTTGAAGACCTTGCTTCAACTGACGCTGATCTGCCTTGGAACAGGTCGAAGAATCGTTTCCCAAACATAAAGCCGTGTATGTGTGTTTACTAATCAACTCCTCCTGTTTGCTCTGTGCCTATGATAGTACAGCATATATTTGGAATGCAACTGTATTTTTGTTTGATCTGTCTTTGATATATTAACACAATCATGTCCACGTTATGAAATTCTGAATTTCTGTCAAGTAGTCTTTGTTTTTGTTTGTGTTTGTGTTTTTGGTTTTTTTAAAGAAATGTTTGTTTGCAAGTAGCTTTCAGCTTGCTCTCACAGGCTTTAAAATGCAGGTGCAAGAAACCATAGCCTGACTAGTTTCTTAGCTTTGTAATTCAACCCACGTAGCAAACTCTTTAACATTCTTCCTGTTTTCTCCCTTTAGTGAGAAGTAGATTTTTGAGGCATATAAAATCCACATGTTCATACGTTCAGCTACCCCAGTAGCCTGGGGTATGCTTTCTTGTGGATACGTGTAAATGTGCTGCAAGGGTTCCATAGAAGATCAGAGTGAATGTATGATAACTTATAAGCCAAGGCTAGATTTTATCACAGGAGACAGCAGTCTGTCTCTCTGTACTCAACACTGCTTCATTTTTCAGTTAATAAGACAAGAAATGTCATTATTATTTTAAGCATTAGCTGTGATGTGAGGTGGGGAGTATGGCATTCCTTGGTTAATAATGCTACATTCTGTGCTATTAACTTTTCGGAACAGCTGCTTCTGTTATCTACTGCCTTGCTCAACACATATTCTAAATTACAGTCACTAAAAATTAATATTCATGGCACATAATAAAATTTGGGCAGATGAGTTTCATAAATCTTTAACTTTGTATTCTCTTTTTTTTTTCTTTTTTTACCAACTTGAGGACCAACACAAGAATGTTTGGTTTCAGCATTTACATTCACATGTGACATCTTTCCTGTTTTCTGCATGCTCACCATGGGCCCAAATCAGACACTCTCACTCATTTTTTATTTAGTCTTCTTTTAACCAAACTTTTCTGTAGTAATGAGTTTACCTTATATAAAATAAAATTTTTAAAGTGCCAAGATCTGGCTCAATTCTATGACTTAGACACCAAATATATAAGGAAAGATTATCAGTCTCTTCACCCTGCTGTCTAATTCATATGGAGGTTGCCTGTGCTAAAACAGCATCCTTTAAAGTAAATTGGTTACTGTTAGGCAAAGGATCCTCCCGTGCACATCAAATTTGAGGTTTGGGGGCATTCACTATTTTAATAAGAAAGAATTATATTAAAATATATCTGGGACATTAAAGGATGACCATACAATAATAGACATTGATTAAGTAGCCATCGTAAATAGTGCTCTACTATGTCAAATGTTCTTAGATTAACAACACTAAAGTTATTTTGGAATTCTTAGTACTCCAGGGATGTTTGTTACATATGTCTGTGATTTTTTAAACAAACGTTTTAGTTAACTGTACTTTAATTCCACAATAGATAACAACAACAGAGTAAAGCTGATGCCTGATGCTGGTATTCCTGGATCTGACTACATTAATGCCAGCTACGTATCTGTAAGTAGAAAGTCTTTCACATTTTTACTATTTTTATTTTATTGTACAAGAGAGAGTCAAAAAAAGAAGTTGCAATAAGAATAGAATTCTAATTTTTCTTTCATTCATTACAGCTCCCATTGCTATGGTGTTGTTCAGGTGATTGTGGGGCATTGTACGTGACTAGTTAAAATATATAAATTCCCCCATTTTCATTGTTGGGCAATGATTTTCAGTAATAATCAAAACTATGCCCAGCAAATTACTTTCTATAAAATTGTCTCATACTGCTGTCATAAAGACAATTTTGGAACTTCCACTGAGGTCAACTGTTTAGAGGCAGGCATTTTTTTGTCTCTTGATTCAGGAGCTGGAGCTATTGTATAAAAAAAGGACAGTGTAAAGATAATTGAACTGAACAGTTTCATAACAATGGCTAACAGTTTGGATGGGAGGGAGTTGTATGCCCTTATTATTTTATGAAAGTTATGATGGAGGAAAATGTAAATATGCTTCTTGAAGAAGCAACCAGTACGCTATTTCTCAGCCTCAGCTTTCTTCCTTGACCTTCCATTTTCCAATTGTGCTCTCAATAAATTCTTTCCTTTGTCTATATTTTTCTGTCGCTAGTCTTGCTTATCTTGTTTTTGTCCTGTTGAAGCTCAAAGTATTACTCATATTAAAATTATTCATTTATTTTATTGTACCAGTGACTAGTGGTCTGAAGTGAAGTCAAGACCCCTTTTGCACACAGCACTGAACGAAAGCACAGCGACACATGCAGACTGTAGTTTAAATAGATGACACAATGGCAAGTAGAAATAAACAGTTATTTTTCAGGTAACTGAAATACTCGTTCACAGGGAATCGGCAGCAGAGCTGAGAACGGGTGTCTTTCTTCAGCAGCATCTTCCTTTTCCATTAGCGAAAGTTACTTATGCACTGTATATGGAATTTCATCGTTCTGACAGGTAGCTGAAAAGAATAGCCATGCCACATTGGTACATGTCCCTAGGACTATACATAGATCAGCTGAGAAGTGGAGCAGATAGCTTGGAGCATGGCCTAGCCTTTACCCTGCCTGTCTCTAACATGCCAAGGCTTAGGCACAGAGCACTAACAGCAGCTTCCAAAAAACCTATAGCACGAGGCACAGCTGCAGAGTGTTCCTGATGAGATTTTGTATGTTTTTACCGCATATAGGCATCTCACTTCTGGTCACCATTCATCAGTGAGTGGACAGCTGTAATGTTGTTCTCTGGGCTAAAGCTTTGACCTTTCAATGCTCTCATTCCATATATTTGTGGATTTTTAAATATATAAGTGCATATAGCTGTAAATATACAATGTGCATGCACGTGTATGCTTGTGTGTGTGTGTGTAACTCAACTGTGAGCCTTGCATCTCTGAATTACAATTCCTCACCTCACTCTTAAACTAGGGAGGATTAACATAGTTTCCCACTGCCACCTGTTATGTATATTATAGATTCAATAACTAACAGGCAGCTGTGAATTATAGGACTACAATTCCAACAAGGAGCTTCAGTGGTGCTATAAACCACTGTATCAGTTTTTCTGAGCAACAAGCAGAATTCTGTGATACCGCAGACTGCCAGCTCTGCAGCAGAAATTCATTTTTATTATTGCTATTGTTGTTATTTTAAATCTTGTGTAGTGCTTAGAGTTCTGTAGGGTACATTCAGTTTCTTTAAGAAAACACAGATCCATGAGAACGCATGCTCTGACAGCATTTACACATTTTTTCAACAAAATCCCTTCTCTCCAAGTTTTACATCAATTTATAATATAAAATTATTATTAAACAGAAGAAGCCAACACTAAAAAAGTCAACCCTGTAGGAGGCTTCTCAGAGACCTCCTATCAGAGATCATTTGCTTGAGTACGTTCCATGCCTAACTTACAGCAGATCCCTGGGGATCACTGGAAAGGCGAGGTCATCAGTGTGGTGTGTAGCTTGCACTAGCACTCACATCGCTCCTCAGGAATTTCCCTGGCCCCACTGCTCCTTAGCACTATTTTAATTCTACTGTGTTGGCCTCTTCCTGACACAGTTCTTTGTGGCCTCGTGGTGGATGTGGAGTAAGGCTAATACGAAGACTTAAGATATTTTTTAATAGGAATTACTGACTGTGTGCCCATGCAATTCCTCTGCTAAAAGACAGCACTTTTATTAGGATGGTATTTCCGAAACTTTATTAGAGCATTGCTTCATAACTGCTCTACACAGTGGAAAAAATGCCATTACTCTCTTACGCTTCCATGGGCACCTACCACGCAATGATTAGCCAGGCCTGCGCCAGTCAGCTTAGTATGTCTGACAAGGTTCCAGCCACGGGCATGGTGGCTATAGGCGCAACTGTGAGTCACATGCAAGCTCTTTTTTAACTTGCCAACCACTATGTATTAAATATTTTCTTCTTCTTAGGGCTATTTGTGTCCAAATGAGTTTATTGCAACTCAGGGACCGTTACCAGGAACAGTGGGTGATTTCTGGAGAATGGTGTGGGAGACTAGAGCAAAAACACTTGTGATGCTTACACAATGTTTTGAAAAAGGACGGGTAAGTTACCAGTGTACCAATTAACAGCATGTGATAGAATTGTGTATGTAGTTTCTATCAGGCTTATATATGATCATTGTTAATTAGTAGTCATCTTCCTGCAGATAAGATGTCATCAGTATTGGCCAGAAGATAATAAACCAGTGACTGTATTTGGGGATATAGTGATTACTAAATTGATGGAAGACACTCAAATAGACTGGACCATCAGAGATCTGAAAATTGAAAGGGTAAGCCAGAACTGGAAGCTGATTGAATAAAACACACCCTGTACTTTGGAGAACATCAGATGTGCTCCATTCCATCCACCTAACCCTCAGTATTCTTCCTTTAATCCTAAATGTTTTTCTCCAGTTTCCGATCACAAAGATCTCAGATATGTGGCCCATGTGCTACGAAGGGCCTAGCAAGGTTACTGCACCTCTTGTCTGGTGGGAGGTGAAGTTGCTATTTGGACACCTCAGTTGTCTCTTCTAGAAAGGAGTAATCCTAACCATTCTGGGATCAGACAAATCCCTTTGAATGTATGCCTCTCAGATTAAAGGGCAAGATTCTCTGGTGTAGCGCAGCTGTTTTGCATTGTACCAGCAGCAGTACTGGCCTCCACCCCCAGGAGATTCATCCAATATAAATGAGAGTCATCAGTATTACTCCCACGCTCTATGCTGGGAAGGGGGAGGGGCAGGTACAGCGCTGATATTAATCTTTGTCATGATCCACAACTATAGTTTCCGCTCTTTGGAAAAATTAGCAACCAGCAAAAGTCAGACCAGCAAGTGGGCTTGGAAGGGAAACTTGGACATAACGACCCAAGATGAAGCCAGCCTTCTTTCACACTCCCAACACTGACTTGTGCTGTATGCAGTGCAGCCAGATCCTAGGACCTGAACTCAGCTATCCAAATATAAAGATGCAGTACCATCCTGTGACGTGTGCACGTGGCAAAAGGAACGTGCCAGTTAGGTGATTGTCTCAGTTGTCAGCCCACAAGGATATGATGTGCACATAGTACAGGACAATGGAACAATGACAGAGAAGATAACTGATTTTTGCCTAAAATAAGACACAGAGTAACCAAGACTGGTAAAGGGACTCTTTAGATTGAAAATATAAATGTGCAAAATGGGAAGTCAGAGCCAGAGTGAGGCTGGAAAGAAAACAAAGCATAATTGAATTGAATGAATTGCCTAAGTGCTCCATTTACAATAGCTGGGCTAACCCATACAAGAAATTATGCCATTTATGAACATGCCATTAAATGTGCCATGTTGCTGGCTATAGGATTGCTCTTCCTCTTCCACCCACAAATGGATGGATTCTTGATGATCTTCCAGTGCAAGTAAAAAGCCTGTATGAGGCAAATCATTTACAATTATTGCCAAAGTATCCTTTTGTTTTTATGTTAATCAATTTTAATGATATAGATCCAAAGTATTTGTTACACATAATTGTTCATAGTTTTTCAGTGTTTCTAAAAAGGGTAAGTAGTAGGTTCAAAATAATAGGAAAAAAAGTCTGGTTTATTATAGAGCAGTTGATTAAACTGCAGGGTGTTGTGAATGCCAAAATCTTAAAGGACTTCAAAAACCTGGAGAAATTAATGGAAGAAAATTCTCATCAGAGGTATTAAATTTTAAGACACCATTTCTGATTGAGGCAGTTCATGGGTAACAGACTACTGAGAACTGAAACCACATTCTGCTGAAGTGTTTTTACATTGTTGTCATGTTTTTATAAATTTTCCTAATATTTTTTCCTGGCTACTGTTCAAACAGAATATTGGGCTAGACAGGCCCAATCAGAATTGGAATAACCATTCTAATGGCTATAACCATTCCAATGGGCAATAACCTTCACCTAAATAAATGTCAACCTAGTCCACTAAACTTACAGGCAAGCTACAGAAACTTCAACCTGTAACCTACAAATTGCACTGATACAGTGACTGAAGTCAAATGGCGGGTGATTGCTGGTTGAAGTCATGAGTACTTCCTCAAACCGGACTTGATGCCATCTCTCTCAAAGAAACTGCTATAAAATATGTGCATCACAGATGATCCCTTGGTACACTGGAGAGTTATGCTATTCTGAGTTTCTTTTTTTAGGTGAAATTGCTGAGAAGTTTACATGTGGCTTGCTAGATCTTCTTTCATAATGCAAAAACTGTCTTCTTTTATATTTTTCAGCATGGAGACTGCATGATGGTGCGGCAGTGCAACTTTACTTCCTGGCCGGAACATGGAGTCCCTGAAACTACTGCACCAATTATCCATTTTGTAAAACTTATCCGTGCAAGTCGAGCACATGATACTACACCGATGGTGGTTCACTGCAGGTAAGCATATTCACCAAAACATTATTTAGTATCTTATCATTTTAAATGCATGTCAATGCTCAGGGAAGCTTCCAAACAAGAAGAGTGAAAAATAAGTGCACTGAATGGCTCTAGCATGAACAGCAGCGTAGGGTTCTCTGGCGGTGCTCCTTAGTCCTTTCTAGGAGGTAAAATACCAAACAGCGTCTTTCCGCTCTTGGAAATCCCACTGAGGTGATGTCTATGGAAGAGTTAGTCCAACAATTTCCAGAAGGTATCACTAGATTTACCTCAAATGTACTCTTTATTGTCATCAGAGGAATAGCAACAACTGCTGTGTTGTTTTTTAAAGACTTCTATTACAAGCTCTTATTATAGCTCTTATTAAGAAATATTATGTAAAATTGTGTTTAGAATGAACATGTCACGTATTAGCACAAAAGAAGAAACCGTTTGGGAGCCAGAGAGAATGACAAATTGAGGGGTTTGCATATGCCAGATTTCAAACTCGGATGCCAGTAAACAACTAAAATCTATATTTAGGCTCCTAAATAAATGGCCTAGTGGTTAGAGGTGTTCAGCTGTCATAGTTCCCATTGATGTCATACTCAACAACCTTAAATTGCTATTTCAAAGAGTAGCCGTGTTGGGAAGGCTAAATCTTAGGGAAGGTGGTGAATGCATCCACATTTTATATGCAGGTCAATGTTCCAGCTGACTGAGGGGGCACATTCCAAATTAGTGATCTGAACTGAGAGACCTGAGCCTGATTCTGGCAAGTCTGGAAATAAGTGGAAGGAAAAGCTGGTTTTGGTGCCACTGATCTCTTCTCTAAATCTGTCCAGTGATGTTATCATTGGGGCTCCTTTTAATTGTCCTCAGTGTCCTACAGGTACCATCCATAATGAAAAGCCTACTTCTCATTTTATTTGACATTGTTGTCATTGATAATTGGGCATTTTCCTCTACTGCAAGGGACCAGAGAGACTATAACAGGAGAGAAATACAGAGTCTTCATGTGTTGAGGACACTTTTATAGCCTCTCTGCAGTGAATCCTATCCCCTTTTCACAGCACAGATACATAAAGGGGCCAGCATGGGCCAGATATTCTGCCCATGCTGAAATTCCCAGTGATTGTAAAGCAGCAGCATGTGTTCTCATATCCAGAAAACTCATTTTTTATATTCTGCTTATTTGACCTTGCAGGTTCAAGAGAGGTTTGCTATACATTTCTTGATTATCTGAAATGATATGCTCTGCATTTGTTACATTATTTGCCAAAAAGTCTGCTGGTGGTTTTAAGAAGTCCTGTTCATTTTCAAACCTTTAAATAAGACAATGCTAGTAGCTACCAGTGTGTCCTACACACGTTCTGTCCTCCTTTTAAAAGTATTTTCTTTCAGTACGTTACCAGATACCACACTAGTTTGTCTCTAATACAAAAGGCATCACATAATCCAATTTTGATTTCGCAATATCTTGTGATTTCTTTTCTTTGAATCAGCAGGCCCTAAGAAATTCACAAGAAAAGCTGTAGGGTCGTTTTTCTGTTTATGTAGATTTGATTTAGTTTGATTTGTGTGATATAAAATCAAAACAAAACATGTTCTGAATCCAGATTTCACTTTCCCATTCACCAAGGGTCCAGGAAAAAAAAGAAAAAAGAAAATTGTGCAAAATACATCAATTTTTCCCAGGTTTTCTTTTTACAGTCAGTCTACTTCAACCAAAAAGTTCTGAGGGAATATTTTAGTACACAAAAACGATGAATAGAAAAACTTTATTTTGCTATGTGTATTATATTTGCAGTGCTGGTGTTGGAAGAACAGGAGTTTATATTGCACTTGACCATTTAACCCAACATATAAATGATCATGATTTTGTGGATATCTATGGACTTGTAGCTGAATTAAGAAGTGAAAGAATGTGTATGGTACAGAATCTGGTAAGACATAACAGTGTATTTGTATTCTGTTTGCCTGTAGTTAAAAAGTTACCTGGTCTCCTACAAAACTAGCCTGGAAATCTCATATGAATCAGCTGCCTAATACATTTTCTACTAATTCCTTCTTCTATTGGGATTGCAAGCATCATCCGTATGTTTTAAATATATTGAATTATAATTAGTCTTGACAAGTGCTGGAAAAAAGTGCTGAAATATTTAGTTTTTAGAACCAACAGCATAATTTCTCAGACTTTAAGAAAGTTCATTTTAAGTTTTGGGTGAAACACAGGTGCTAAATTAAAATAGTTTTGCCCATACACTACTTAATTTGCTGACTTAACTTATCATGCTACTTAACTGTATTTTTTCGTACATATTTATCACACGGTTTTCCAAACTTTTAAATATGCCTTTATCTTTGACCTCATTAATAATTCCTTGATTCTTTTTAAATTGTTTCAAATAAAATAACATATCTGAATAGAATTAAGCACAGACTTCAGAGTCTGTAAAAACAAGGCAATGGTGTTTTTTGAATCTAAAATAGACATATTGCTGGCAAACTTATGAAGTGTAGATATCACTTAGTGGTGACCTGCCGGTAAGAAAGACCTCTCCTGTACTTGGAGGTCTGGCTATCCAGAAGTGAGCAATAGCAGAATTTAAAGCTGATCCTAAATGCCTAATGGAATGGCAGTCTGGCTGTATTCACTCTCTCTCTTTTCCTTCCTGTTGGTTTAATTACCTTATCTAAATCAGGGTGGGCTTGAGGTTATAAATCCCATGGGAGCAAGCTGGTGTCATGATCCTACCTCAAGTGCCTTATTTCAGCGTTTAAAACTGTAAGCAATTAACACAGTTACCTCTGGATCATTACACAAATCTGGGATGAATTCTAGCACAACTGAAGCTAACAACACTGATGCTAGAACTCAGGATGCCCTCCCGACTGGAAAAGGAGTTATCACTGAAGTAACATTTATACTGAAGTTTATTCACAGTTTAATAGAGGCTATAAATCCTTGGTCTAATTCAGCTAATTCAGCGTGTATGCACCTAATATCAATTCAGTTAATACAGATTTTGTTTTTCTTGCTCATATCAGCCTTCAGTGAGTGCTGGTTCAGGCTCTTTGGAAAATTTCCTCTCTAAGCAGTTACTAGCTCATTTTATGTTTTTCCTTGCATGCAAACATGGTAGCAACTTGGACTGGATGTTCCAGCCTTTTAAGTGCTTTGGGCTAGGTGCCAGTTGGGAGACTGGGGCATTAATGGGGCCTTTTCCTCCCTTTCCTCCCACATGGGAGTGCTGGCAGCTCAGAACACTGGAGGCCAGGGCCTCCTCCAGCACAGGAGGAGGCAGTGAACTGGCAGACCTCCTGCAGGCCAGATCTAGCCCAAAGGCTGCTACCTGAGCCGTTCGGGTCTACTGCATAACCCACCAACGTCTCAGTGTGGGTGAGCAGTTCCAGGATGAACTTCCACCTAGCTAAGGCTTTTAAATGATTTTGATGTCAGGAGACTTGCTTTGTTAGGAATGCAGTTCTGCTCTTCCATATCATTTCAGAATATTTCAAGTGCATAAGAGTGTATGAGGAGAGGTTAACCCCTCTTCTCCAGCAACTGTACTATAGGTTTTGTGAGACCTTGTGGTGATGAAAAATGAAACTGTCACTGCGTATCTTGTAAAGTGCTGTCTGATTACCAGTTGTTTTGATGTTTTCCTCCTTCTGCTTATTAACTATTTGTGTCACAGTCTGAAGTTCCCTGCTTACATGCTGGTAGGGGTTGTAATAAAATCCCTTCTATTCTGTTTGCTTTCTAGCACGCTTTTTAATGTTATATGATGCAGCTAAACAATTGCCAGGGCTTTCCTGTGATAATGAATTCTGGAAATGTTTTTTTGTTTGTTTTGTTTTGTTTTGACACTTTTGATTGCAAATAGAATCATCTAAAATATAGCAAAGGTTGGAAGATAATGTAATGAGAGGCCTCTCAAAATCAAACCTTAAAACAATAAGGCATTTGATAAGATCAGTACACATTTTTAAAATGTGCGCCATTTTTCCTCACCTCTGCATTTACGTATTTTGGCAGAGGCTAGAAAAAGATGTGCCAAAGTGCAGTAGGAGAAGATGCTCTCATTGTTCTGATTTCAAATGAGATCAAAGATAAGAAGTATTATTCCATATGCTCGTGGCAAAATCCTGAGACAGGTTGTTCTGTTCAGGTCATTTCTAGCTCATGTTTGCAAGACTATGAAGTGCAGATCAGTACTGAAACTTACTCCAGAAGACCTGAGTCTCGTAAAGTTTTATGAGGGATTCTGTACTCAAGCTATTCTGACAGTTCTGTTATAATACACTGTTTAGTAGTCTATAATTTGGATTTTATGTGGTCATCATGGAAGATATTAAAAGAGCCTCATTCCTTTCCAGAACTCAGTTTACAAATCCCTCAGTCAAACTGTCTGCAAGATGCATGAGTAAAATAAATAAAAATTGGTTGCTTTCAGACCTATTTTTGCTTGTTTATACCTTCAAAATAGTTTTCCTTTTGCCAACAGAGCCATTCTTTGGTACTATAGCCAATTGGCACAAAATAGCCTACATCTGTGCAATTAAACATCTCTACAGTTACCATACTCCCCACAAAAGCTAGCTGCATCCAATCTTTCTATAAGGAATAACCTGTAGTCTGTTCTAACTCCTGGTATGAATCAAAACCATGGCAGGGACTCTTCAGACAATTTGAAGTCATTTTGATGATCAAGTTTCATTGACTGACAGTGTACCCAGGCACTGTGTAATGCACTAATGTAGACACCATCTCAATATCATGGTACTCTGCTCCGTGGCCTGTACATTAGCAAGGCCTGCCCTTGGACTACAGGTAAAGTGCATAACCTACTCTGTAGAGAAATTTTTATTTTCTCTCCCACTTCCAACCATACGAAAAGCCTTCAAATAATTTAGAGTGTCATTAATTATAACTGGGAAAATAGTTTGACACACATACATTCCTCAGGTATTCTGCTTTACTCCTACTGACATGCTCAGAAAGGTTTTCATTGCTACATACTCACAAATAGCCATGTGAATACAACAGATTATGGAGCTTTCAGAATCTGCCTTCTGAATTAAAACAACCTGAATTAGAACAACCTTCAACACTCCAGAGACACCTCAGATCTTCGTTTTAGAAATCTGTATTTGTCCTCATTTTAGAAATCTGTATTTGTCCAGCAGATCTATTAAACTTACCACCTTCTTTCCAAGGACAAAGGCTATTGTGAAGTTATGCCATGCTATTGTTTCAATAAGCAACCTATTGAAAAAGTATATTGCTACTGTATTCTTCAGGGGCCTGTGAAAGTCTATTTTAGGTATCTATGGGTTTGGAGCCATGACCCTAAGACATATCCATGTAAATAAATTCCTCTCATAAATCTGAGACACTTGAATTGAAAACTAGTGACAGTTCTGAAACAAAATAGCAGTTATTGAGCAAAATCTGTTTTCTGATCTGTTTTCATGCTTTTATTTTTCTCTTTTCTACAATTGTTACCTGGGTTACTATGTCCTCAGAAGTTTCAAATTAACTTTAGTTTCCCACTCTTTGCATTTTAGTCTCTTAAATATGATGCCACAGTCTAAGAAGTGTCACTAAAAATACTCTTGAGTTTTGCTCTTAGCAATGATGCGTGCTTCTAGAATGTGCAGATACTGCTTGAACTTTTGTATTTTAGTGCACCCTGCTGGTTTTCTCTATGCTAGAAAGAGGAAAGTTTTCATATTTAAGTGTTCCATTTATGTGGTACTGTATCTTCCGTCTGAATCTAGTGACAGAAAATAATCAAACATCTCATAGAGCAAACTTTTACAGAAAATTGTGGCAAGCCTATTATTCTCGGTAACATTTAGTATAATTTCATATATTTTACTGAGCATAAGAATTAACAACTTTTGGCAAATTTTAACACAATATACCTCATAATGAAATCAGGTCAGACGTATATGATATGATTATCAAAGTGTTCAGATTGCCGAGTTAAACTGCAATCACTTTAAGAACATCTGGACATTTATATAAAAATTGAAAGCTTTTTACTATTAGAAATGCATTTTTCTTCTGATCAAACATCTTTAAATTCACATCTTACAGGCACAATATATATTCTTGCATCAGTGTGTACTGGATCTGTTGACAAGCAAGGGAAGCAGTCAGCCCCTCTGTTTCGTAAATTACTCAGCGCTGCAAAAGATGGACTCTCTGGATGCCATGGAAGGTAAGTAGATACAGATTGTCCCAAAATTATTTTTTCATAGCAGGTGCATTGACTTGTCTAGGCTAAGAAGCAGAAAAGAGTACTTCAACAAGCATTTGTTGGCTTCAGAAGTGTAAAGTTCTAGGATTTTGCTGCCCTTCAACCTCCCTCATGGTAGTACTCGTTGCTCAAGCTATCCACTTGTGAAATCTTTTACATTCAGCCAAGTTATCTGCTGTTAGTTACCATTTGTTTAAAAGGCAGGTTAATGTGATATATCTGTTTCTTTTGTAGGTGACGTGGAGCTTGAATGGGAAGAAACTACCATGTAAATATTAAAACTAAATATTGAAAATATTGAGGTCTTAAAAATCAAAGTCATATTTTTTTAAGCACAGGGGCCAAAGTGAATTCCCCTATTTTGATGATCAAAACAAACACAAATGATTGAAACCAATTTTTTTCTATCAATGTGCCTTCATAAATATATTTTATTCAGATCACTGAGCTCTAAGGAGTTGCAACAGTTTTGCAGAGACTGTACTTCCACTTGTTATAGGAATACTGCATCCAGTATGTATTTAAACTGAAAGTGTGTTCTGAACATATTTCTTTTTTCCAGTTATCTTTATAAAAGAAGAAAAATGAGCCAAATATGATGTAAAAATTCCATATTCCCAGTGAAGTTATTTTGGGGTGAATTTGCTGTATTATGTTTTGGTTTTGAAGCATTCTTGCTAGATCGCTTTCAATGTTTTTTTTCAGTTCTTGCAGATTAATTCCAATACCATCTCAGTGATCTTTACCTAAATGTATGTTCTTGTGTTTTGAATCTTATTTTATGAGTGGTAGCATATCAACTCATGATCCTGAACAGCTGAAGAGTCACCTTCTGACACAGGGAGGATTATTCAGCTTTTACACACAGCACACAGTAGCTCTTCAGGGACACTTGGGGCTATTTAAGCTACCTTATAATCAGTGGATTTTTTTTTTTAAATATACATGGTGATTGCATATGTTCAGTGTTGAAGAAAGCATTTTACATTCTTGCTACTTTTGTTAAGAAGATAAAATAAAGCTGCAAATTTATTATATATTATAATGAATGTTAGACTCATTGGAGTGACAGTGTTTATGATTCATTCAAATGTCTTGAATGTTACCCTGTATAGCATGCTTATAAGGAATACTCCAAAATGTAGTACCAAAATATATTATAACACAGAAGTGTAAACTAAAAAAGCTGTTGCTCCTTTGTCAGCTTTGGTGAATCACTGTAGACATTGAAAAGTATGTGAGGTAATATTTGGGGATTTAATAAAAGGACACATCTTCTACTCCCACTGATAGTCATTATCAGAGGAAGATCTGAAACAGGAATGAGAGAAGCAGGAAGCTGTTGTCTGAGAAACAAAGGAAAAAATGGTGTAGTAGGAGGACTACAGAGAAATAATTATACCATGTGCCCTGGTTTTACATAGAAGTGGCAATGTTTGATTGATATCATTGGGGTGTTTCATTGCTCATTTTTAACTCTGTGTAAAGAAATGTATAATTCTGAATAATGCTAAGGCTGTGACCTAAATTTGAGTTTCACAAAATATAATAGCAAAGAGACTTCAGAGTTGCCAAATTGTATTCTGTTTAGAAAGAAGAAATCCATAGCCTTGTTGAAGGGAGAAGCTCAGGAAAATCCGGCCAACCTCTTTAGAACCTAGGCAGGGATGTGGGTGCGTGCACACACTCTGAACAGAAGAGTAACAAAACTTTCCATCTCTTAGCTGTAGCTATCAGACAGAAAATACTACACAGTATGTAGCTTGATATTTATGCATAATCACAGGATAGTAGTAGGTGTTTGATGTCTTTTTAGAATCTGGCAAAGGCGGTGCAGCTCATAAATCAGTTAGGACCCTTTGTAAATCGGCAGAAAGTGCCAAATATCTAAAATGAAAATCAAAAAGCGGCATTTAAAGAGATGGAAATGGTCTACAGAGATATTTTGGAGAAGCTGTCTTGCAGGAAGACTGACAGTACTGTAAACATCACCTGTCAAGCTAAAAGGAAAACAATGCCTTTTAAAGCTGGATAGAGGGAGAGAGAGGTGATGTCCACAGCTGTTCAAGTCTCTGGCAAAGCATTCTGTACAGCTCTAGTTTCATTTGGTTCATATGAAACATGTGTTCTTCATTTATTATACATGTGCTTTAAAGTATTCTGACAAATTGCTTATAGGGGCTTACAGATGTTTTTCATGATTTCTATTTGTACTTGGTAGCAGTACATGCAGCACTGTGATAAATTGACGTTACAGAGCCATAATCTTGTATAATCTTATATCCACAAGGCTGGAATATATATATGTATGTGTCATTCTTTTACTTTTAGGAGAAGGCTAATAAGCCTTATGAAACTTGCAGGTGAATTCTGAAGTTCCAAATGTGTGCTTAAATGCTTTATATTTTATAAAATACTTATTCTGAGAATTCCTACATCCTCCTTTACGGGACCTACCTGTGGTCAAACACTACATTCAGTAATGTGCTTGTTTGACAACTCAGTAAGATACTAGAAAATTTGACTCTCTTTTCTGTAGGGCAAAGTGAAAAATCTTAAAAGTAATTCAAGTGATTTGTACAATTGTACAATTTGGCATCTAATACATGCTACCTGGGGAAATTTTGCATTTTCTTAAGGATAAAAGCCAACAGTCAGCAAAAACTGACCACAACTCACAGGACATACGCTCAGGGAAAGAAACGTCTCCAAGCAGTAAAGCAGCAGTAGTTCACTGACTTTTTAATGTGCCTGCCAGTGAGTTATAGGGAGAGGGGAGCATCCTTAGAGTAGGACATTCCCCCGGCTCTGTCCAGTTGTGAAGAAAAAATTTCCATGTGGTCTCTTCACTTCCAGCCCTCCTTCCCTTCTGCAATGGCACCAGTGGTAGCTCTGCTGACAAAACTGGAGATCTGGAGGCAAAAGTAGAATTCATCCAATAGCTATTTTAAGAATATACAGCACATCATTTTTATTTTTATTTTTATTTTTGCCACTCAATTTTGTACATATTCTTGGCACTGCTAATGCAGCAAGAGTATACTCTATGAAAAACAGAAACTGACTGAAGGAAAACAGAATACTAGAATTCTATAGGATGGTTACAATTATCTTGAAATTAGGTCATACTGTATTAAATCATTCAGGCAATTTCTATAGAAACTGGCATATCTATATATCTATCTATATGTAGCCAATTCCATTGTAAATCTCTAGAAGGGGCTAGCATCAATGCCCTCAAGAACTGATCTGTTATGTTTACAAATGTAATTGCATAAAGGCAACAGAACATCACATTCATGTTGAATTTAAAGCATATTTTTATGGTGTTGTAGGAGCTGATAAAATAATCAGGACCTTCAGACTTCTGCTTTTACTGTACACATGGAGTTATACAGTAATTTCATTTGATAACATTATGTGAAAGATTAATAATGTGGACCATCTGTGTATTGCTGCAATACAACGGATGGTCATATACAGTTATTAAGAAAAAGCAGCAAATAAATAGCTTTGCATTGACCATACTTCAGACTAAAGTCACACATGATAATGAGTTTTCCTGGTTATATGCAGAAATGTCTAAAGCCTTTTGTATTTGGACATGATTCAGAAATCCCTGAATTAGGAAAAAAAAGGAGAGACTTAATATTAAGAATATTAAGAATATTAAAAGAATATTAAGAAAATTAAGCTTCAAGCAAAGTGGTATCTGGTGCTGGCTCTTAGATCCAAGTTGTACATACAGCTCTGACTGAACTGGGACAAAGCCTGCATTTGCAGAGATTCAGGACACAAGGGCCTGTGAGGTCGGTGAATAGACGAAATTTCCGACAAAAATAGTTTGACAGCAAGTTTAAAAAAATCCTGAATAGTACATGTTTTAGAATATGTATTACATGTATATTAAACATTGTGCAAAATCATCATCTATCTCTATGGAAATAATGAAATAATAAAAATAGCTAGGTCCAAATTATTATTTTTTTAAGAACTATGAAAAGCATCCAATTAGCTGTCTTTGTTTTAGAGGATATACATATGAAAACAGTGAAGTCAAGGGTGGTTTATAATTAAGCTACATGCCCATTTGGTGCTGCAAGACCAATCAATATGTTGATTACAGTGGACTGTAACTGGGAACCATTGACACATCAATGTTGGATGTTTCTTTGTGATGTTTGATATTTATAACTGAAGCAGAGAAAGTATACTGAAGGGTAATGCACTATTTGTTCACTTTTCCATGACTGCTATGTCACCGCTGTATGGTGCTGAAAAGACAGGTCCTTCCCAGCAGTGTTCTTCATGATTTTTTGGTTTTCTGATACAAGTGTAGCTTATATATATGTGACTGTATTAGAAGGAAGTGTAAACAGTAATATGGATCATTTTAAGTCAAATACTGCAGGCACGATCTACAGGCATACACAGTTCTCAGGTAAGGTGTATAGTTGTCTTTCTTACTCCAAACCTTCTCTCTGTCCTCTTTCCTCTAAGCTGATTTGCAGATGGCATCAGGGAACATGAGCTGCATTTTTTTCACTGGCCCCAGAACACATTTTCTTCCCTGTCTTCTATGTGGATATAGTTAGGAGGCATGAAACAAGTGCAAACATACTTTTGTGGTTCATCTCAGAGCTGAACTGCGGTATCAGTTGCATGTCTTTACAGCATAGGCCCTGTATACGATCTTAAGGATAAACTAAATTACTGGCTTCCTTCCTATCCAGAAGTTTCCCCTACTGCTATTATACATTCTGGTATAAATTTCAGCACTGGTCATTGTTCAGTGTCAGTTGAATGCAGGAAGATGGATCCAATGTTTGATATTTTGCATGGCGATTCTCTTTTCCCAATGACTTCTCCCAAACTATGTTGAACTAATTACTTATTGTAAGGGTACTGCCTGAGCTCTCCCTTCACATAGGTCCTTTCTTAGATTCTGCTATGTAACGTAAACTGAACATCAATGACTTTTCATCACTGAATAATGATGTCTACAGTACTTTTTAAAGATCCCACTTCAGCAGGCAAAGTCTGGTATGAAGTTGTGCCTCTGTATTTCAGTTGAAAGACAACATTTAGATGGTTTCAGTTATATTTGGATCATCTTACTCTGCTTGTTGATTGGTGTTACCAGGGTGATCTTTTTGTGGGATGACAGCTGCACACAGCTATCTACCGTAATCATGAATAAACCATTCCAGGACTCTTTATAGTCAATAATGAGCTGAAGGAAGTTTTACAAGGATATTCCTGAAATATTTTGTCGGAGATGAAGTTCTGGATGA